TCGGTATGAAAGACGGGGTAGTGACAAACCAGTTCGAAAATAACGACATTTGAAGCGGCGGTGGTGGTGGTGGTAGGAGAGGAGTGGATGGGGCGATCACAGATGTTTCAGCCAGATCACACTTCGATCAGATTACCCACACAGCACTGACAGTGTGGACAATCATGTTGTAGCGCCTGTTTCCGCAATTGCTCAAGCGGAGATACGGACAGTTGTGGTACAACTTTTTCATTCACGACCTGTTCTGATTGATTATTTTCATTCGAGCCCTCGGCGGGCGACTGTGGTTTCTGATCTTGCTCTGCAGCATCTTCATCGTTTTGTAACGAGAATCCCAAATCAAATTCTGTTTCGTCTGTTGATGGACCGATTTCATGCAGCAGAAGTTGAAAATCGCTCAGGAATTTCGCTTGAGTTTCTTGATTCCCGAGAACTAGATAGAAAGACATCATAAGAAATGAGAAACAGATATGGACGGGATCAAACCAGTGCTAATCCTGGGAGAAAGCGTAGCTCATCTGATATGATAAGTCCTAATAACAATCAAACCCTTGATGGCAGTGCATATCCACAGACACTTTGGGAATTATAGCCTGGCTGGTCTTGCATCTGAGGGAACGAGCTAAAAACAGGATGAACCCATGAAGCTAAACTAGCTGTTTACTATCCAATTTTCCGATAAAGTGTGGATAAGCGAGTTTGAATCGAGGGAAACTTAAATGGAGTGGATCGAGGTGGCCGGTAGAACAAGTAGACAGTTCGACCGCCGTAGAAAGAACGAAAGCATCCAGTCAGCAGGATACTAACATGGAAGGCCGATTATCATGAATGAACCCCCAAGTGTCCAGTGGTTGTAGAGTCTCCTGCTATTCATCACAAAACGGTGTACTGAAAATACCCCATCTTCATTCGTAGTAGCTATTCTCCAGGACACATTTTTGACCGCATGCCTTAGTTCATCCTGGAACAGAGACGGCAAACCACACGACCAATGACTAAGCACACAGTATTGCTCTAATTAATCACACCCATTAATTCGCTGTGGTAAGTCAAATTTCAAGAAGTATTCACAATCATCAGGCCTCATCAGTTACGCATTTGTAATGCGCTCGTTTCATTCCACCGAAGCCACATTACGTACGTAAACCGAAAGATAGTGCGAGCGATATTCAAGTCGAACGAACGATGATTCATTCCACTTGGTAACTACCAGGTTTTGAAGAGAAGAGAAATATCAAAAACGCAGTGTCGTGTTCCTGAATTTTTCGACTTAATTTATGGACAGTCGAGTTGATGAACAGTTGGAATCAATGCGATTTGAGGTCAGTCGAACATGGAAAGAGCCATGTACGAACTTCCACAGGTTTTTTCCACGAGTGCACAAACAGATCGGCATACCTTTCAGGGTTTATAAAAAATACACGCTAGATCCATTCGACGATGAGCTAAAACTCACTGAACTGAATTTGGAAGCAATGTCCACGTTGAAAAAAATGTTGACAACTAATACCACACCCTCGGCACGATTGACATTCTTCCTGGAGAATGGATAGTCCTTGGAAATTTTTCTAATGAAGTGCTCTGTCCAAAGAATTATTCACCTTGTTCAGACTAGCCGTGAACTCGAAATCTTCAACATTTTTTAAAATCAAACACCATGGTTGAATGGACAACATAAGGAAGCCCATACTCATGGGGTTTGGTCTCTACTATCTAGATGAATTGAAAAAAGCCAGGCGTCATAAAAACTGATTTACTGTTTTAGGTGCACGAATGGCCGCACAGTAAGTTGTTGGTTTGAATGTATTCCAACACATAACCTAAGTGCGAGGGATGATGTCCTGGGGGTTGACTTATCCTTTGGTATAAGACATGTAGTGGCATAAGAACTAGAAAACGTAAATGAGAATTGAGTAGCCTATTGATCTAGTACATTCCAATTCACCCTATCGACAGTGTCCAAAAGACCGACTGTGAGAACACTTGAGATTGACCGTTGATTTGCTAGACAGTTCAAATATGAGAAATTTAGCCAAGACAGAAAACATGGCATACATTGATCATGAATAACAGACTAACGGGGGAAGGAGAACATGTATCTGATTCAAGTGGCTAAATTTGCTTATTCCTGCATTATAACCACATGTCCTTTTCTCTCGTTCATAATCACTCACCAGCATCGTTATACAGTGCAATACAGTGAAGCGAACTTCACTGATCGCTGCCAAACTCATAATGCATACAAGATAAGTGAAAATGTGTAAGGAGGACAGGGATTGGGCTTATTTTTAGGGACGGGAAAAGAAAGTGAAACTCTATGATCACCACAAAGAGAGCACAGCCCAACTGTGCTTAAACACTGGTTCAAGCATTCTGGTCTGATAAAAAGTGACAGGATGATCGCCATTGCTGTCGGTTCGCAGCCATGACCTTCAGTGTCTCTAACCATGCGGTTTCGGAGTCTTTTGGACCCCAACCCGGAAGACGAACACCTACTCTACCTANTCTGTGCGTTTCTCATGCCTCGTCTCCACGTCATCTGCTGGCCTCCATGTGGCTTTCTCCAACCTGTAACAGCCACTGCAAATAAGGTGCGCTGCGGTAGGCGACCGTCGGACATACGCAAAACGTGTCCTAACCAACGGAGCCTACTGAGCTGGATTCGATGAGATAGCGAGTTCTTGTTCGATGCATTCCCAAACACTCGACGGCTTACTTCTAAGTTACTAACCCGCTCACTCCATCCCACTTGGGCCAGACTAAGTAAGCATCGATTGTCGAACACTGATTAACGACGGGTGTCTTCTACCAGTAAATTCAAGGTCTCACAACCGTAAGGCAGAACTGATCGTACAATGGTGTAGTATATGCGACTTTTCAACTTTAGTGACACGTCACGTCGCCGCCACATGTGTTTTAGTCCTGCGTACACTGCTCGAGCCTTGGAAATGCGGGCGGTTATCTCTTTCGATGTGCTACCGTCGTTGGTCACGCAGCTACCTAAGTACGAGAAGCAGTCAACTTCAGCTAATTCTTGACTGTTTAGTTTCAAAACCGAACTCGGTGACACCCAGTCTTGCAGCATTACTTTGCACTTTGAAGGTGCAAAGCACATGCCGAAAGGGGCGACAGAACTTGCTAATCTGTTAAATGCTCTTGGTGCATCATCCATAGATTCGAACAGGTAAACGATGTCATCAGCGTACTCCAAATCGCACAGCTTTTCTCCAGCTGCCCATTCAAAACCTACATTTCGGAGACCACTTNTTGGTCACGCAGCTACCTAAGTACGAGAAGCAGTCAACTTCAGCTAATTCTTGACCGTTTAGTTTCAAAACCGAACTCGGTGACACTCAGTCTTGCAGCATTACTTTGCACTTTGAAGGTGCAAAGCACATGCCGAAAGGGGCGACAGAACTTGCTAATCTGTTAAGTGCTCTTTGTGCATCATCCATAGATTCGAACAGGTAAACGATGTCATCAGCGTACTCTAAATCGCACAGCTTTTCTCCAGCTGCCCATTCAAAACCTACATTTCGGAGACCACTTAGTGCGTTTTCCAGTATTTTGTCTGTGACGTAATTGAACAGGAATGGCGAAATAGGGCGCCCTTGACGAACACCGCTGCTAGTTACGAACGACCTGCTTAGCTCGCCGTAGACCCTTACGACACCAGAAGTATGTGAGTAGAGTGAACCCAGTATATTTTCCTCCTTCTGATGCATTCCTTTGCGAAGGAGTGAACCCAAGAGGGATTTACGGTCAATTGAATCGAAGGTTTCTTTTATGTCAGGGAACACGACAACCGTTAGTCGACGGTGCGTATGGCGTAGCTCGGGGACCTGACGCAGATTTTATAATTAAACTCATTCTATCAAAAGGAGTTTGGTACTGCTATTCTAGTCTTTCCATTTGTCTTTGTGTTACCAAACGCACACACCATATGCTGTATGTATGATCGACAGTTAACATAAAAACAGCAGGAACGATCGTCTTCAGAAAGGGTAGGCAACACGAACCATTCACCTTTGGATACAGACTCAGCGGATGTGTCTGGTTCTCCAGGAATTGTCTCATCCCCGTTTACAGGTGATTCTGTGTGATTCGCTTTGCATGGGACTAGCAGGTCGCGTAATCTGGCGCGCAAACGACGTCGATCTTCGACCAGACGTCCGAGCAACTGTTCCCGCGCACGGGCCCGACGCGCTGCCGCGGCACGTCTATGCGCAAACAGAGTGACGTATTCACCCACTGTCGATGCTTCCATTTCGAGCTGAGCATTCAGGGATTCCAAACGAGTGCGTTCTTCGTCCACACGACTCATTTTGTCCATACAGTCGATGAATTTGGCTTCCAGTTGTTTAAATGCTGTCTATCAGGACGGGGATGCGGGAAAGAATGACAAGGAAACATTCAACACGAGGCAAACCCCGGCCGAAATCTCGAGAAAGTAAAATGTCTATGTTCCAACTGGCTAGCACATTTTGAGAAAGAGTAATCCAATAAAAACGCTTGGTTTTCTGGTTATCCCCAGACTTACTACATAAAAACCTCAAAATTCAATTTTGAATAACCAAATCCACGAATCAATGAATGTCATTCCAGATGGGTGATATTTTGAACTCACTGTTGAGATCCAAGGGCCAACAAACTAGTAGCAAAAATAAAATATTTATACATGTATTCAACAAAAACCAAGCGAAACCAAAACGTGCAAATGTGGAAATCGTCCTAATTTTTGGAAAAATCATCCCCACAAATTTAATTACATAAAAACACAGGGAGTTCATCAGGAGGTTAGAGTGAGCAGTCAGAGTCAGTTTGGTCTTCACGTGAGAGCTCTTTAACCGTCTATCAGCAAACCGTTTTGAAAAAATAATAATAAAAACAGCACAAAACGGATACTCTATAATGAATGATAAATTGCGATGCACGCCGTAACCGAGTAGACTGCTTGGCATCAATGCGATTGGAATACAGTTAAGGTATATCCAAACGAGAGGATGAGACAGCCTCACTGATGTTGAAGATTGCGAAACGGTATAGGTGAATGGGACTTTAAGAGATATCAGAACTTGTCAAAGATTGTATTTTTGGAGCCTATGCATCCAACCCTAGTTTGTGACTCTAAGAGGCTAAGTCCGCTTGACAGGCAGGCTAAATCAGGTTGAAGGTTATCATGGACAAAAACCCTTCAGTCAGACGGTAAGCAAAACCGGCATAACAGGGAAATAGTCGAACTAGGAGAGAGACATAGATCACTGGGTGGCAACATCTGCAACTAGAGAACGATGAACGAGTTCATAGGGTGCCAACGGCAAACCGTTTACCAGTTTACAGATTACAATTTAATNCAGGCAAGAGATGCGCAGTGGAAAATTAAAACAACTCGGTTGGCGGCGCGTCGTGCACCCCCCCCCCGTGAAACGTAAAGACTATTTTGAGGTCGACTTACTTTCGAGAAGATACTGGCTGTATTAGAGTAAGGCTAACTCAACTATATGCCCAAACATGAACAAAAGCTAAATGACTGTATGTCAATTCATCAGTCAACCATCTCCCTTACACTACTTTGTCCTAGGAAATATTATTTCTCGATGAGAAGTCCGATAAACATGGCATGATAGCCGAGCAGTCATGAAAGTAATCATACTGAACGAACAGGTAACCCGGGAAACAAAATCTGAGTGCTAGGAACTAGATATGTCAAGAGACGGTACCCAACAACGAGATTGAATGAAATCTGGTTTGACAAACAGATAGCAGTACAGTGCAGTGTGGTATTGTCAATTAGGATCATCATCTAACTTATAAAATTTGCTGATTTCGACTGGCTATCCTTCAGACTTTATCTGCACGCACAATAATATTCAGTTCAACCGGTCAACCAACTATACACTCCGAAGTACTGGACTCGAGTTTTGCTCTCCGTGGAGCTCATCAGCAGTGCGTGTCCACCGCACCGTCCAAGCGTTGCACTCCGGAAGAAACACATGGAAGGATCGTGTTATCATACTGTATGTACCAGCAAACCACAACGGGGCTGACCAAAACTAGCGACTCAAGTGTGTTCAGAAATCGTCTTCAATTACGGTCAGTCAGTTCCACTAGTCCCATCGCGACGAAGGGAGACAGATCACTATCTGATAAACTTATACATCCTCACATTACTACTCGCAAGTAACTGTAAGTAAATGGTGAATTCTATAAGATAAACATGGAGCTCGGGCAGTTTGACATGTTTGACACCCGAATAAAAGAATCCGATTGGATCCAAACGAAGCTCCTCGTGTATCACACCAAACACTTTAGATAAAGTAGTACTATTGTGAATAAAGCATTCACAAATCAAAACCGGATTAGAAGATCACAGATGAACAACTAACTTGATGCGTTTGCCACTCTTCCACGGTTGGCAACTGGCGCACTGCAGCCTGGTGCTCTTGGTTTTGACGTGCCTGAGTGGCCACTTCTTCATCCCTTTGGGCGATAATTGTGCGTACAAGACGTTCCATTTGTGCGAACTGTTCAACCGGATCGGTAGAATCGTGACCGGATAAGGTGTTACGCAGTCGAGCCGTAGACTGAGGGCTCAGTTGCTGTGCTTGTAGCCAATCCATGAGTAGACTTAACCGGTGCAAAATGCTATCGAGTTCTTCAACCCGACCGGACAATCCGTCGATTGTGCGCTTTTGTATAGAAACGGATGAGGCAAGCGAAAACAAAGACGGGAACAAAAAGGACAGAGTAAAGGTGAATTTGTATATAACAATCGAAAAACTCAGAACAACGTCAAGCAGTTCAAACTACATAAAACACCTCATACCTTGCCCAGTTGCACACAAAAACTGATAAACGAATAAACCGTGTCCATCAAGAGGCAGGAAATAAAAACAGCAATAGGAATTAAAAATGAGTCTACAGGCATGGGGAAGCTCCAGTTGTTCAATCATTAATCGTGAAAAGCCAACCGATTCGCAAGGCATAATATCCTATCAACAAGTCTCGAATTCTATCTTGTCAATGTCTAAACCGTTTGGGATGTCTCGAAAGTCAGGCCAAATCGATGTATTCTGTACAACAGAATATGAAACGTACTCTGTGCAACATTGATTCATAATCATTTCTACAGACGTTTATGATTCATTTGTAGCAGATAAACACAGGACTATTCTGGACAGGGGGGAGGTGGGGTGCGAACATCGGACTTCTACACCACTCGGTGAATCTATTCAACCAAAACATACTACGTAACCCAAACGGCACAGTGGACATTGTACACATAAATACTGAAGACAGACATCGGGGACATTTGAAATTTCCACACAGATCGAAAAGAGACTGTTTCAGAACTTGAGGATGACGACTGAGGGTCAAAATGTTCTAATTTGGAAAACACTGATTTCTCTTCGACATCGAAGTATTTTTTTCCCTCTCATTAGTGGTATTGCATTTGCAGTCTGTCCGCGGTGGTGGTAAGCGAACACCGGACCTGTAAGGTCACATGACAGAAATGAATAAGCATTCCCAAGATTCATGACACACACGATTTGGGATCAAGGCAAGTGAGTTCGAGAGGAAAATAAACAAACAATCTTTCTCCAAGAGATCTATTGTTAAGAAGTGTAAGCGGGTGTAAAACGCTCGAGTAATTCCTCCCGGGGACGAGTTAAATCACATCAAAATGAGCTTCACGATCCCGAAAGGAGTGAATTTTTAACACTCGTTTGAAAGTTCCATATGAGCGGATGGGTGTCATATTGTATAGCACAGAGGAGATATATAAAACTGACACCATTTGACCAGCAAATGTGATCACTATTCTCGATTCTATTGGTAGTTCAATGTTACAATGAACAATGTAAATACCAGTCCTATGAATGCAACTGAACGGAGTCAATTATTTTGTGAATCATTTGACTTACGTTTCTAAAATAAGCAGTGTACAGTGAGACGAACCTCGTTGATAGCTGGCCACGTGATCATGGGCATAAGGAATGTACTATATACGGCTCAGTCTAACGCCCTCCTCCACTATGCAAAGAGCATATACATTAACTGGATGTTTGAATACTCGGCAATTGCAGGGGCGTGGTCAGCCACCCCTATTGTTCATTGAGCCTCACATAAAGACATCCGGCTGATCAGCGACTCTTTCTCGACGTTCTATATTTGCAATCAGCATCGTTCATTATCAGACGGTTGTTTTCCATTGTGCTTTTCTACCAATTTTTTAGTTCATCTTGTTGATAACTACTTGAATAAAAAATACATGCATATAATGATATGCACTGTCCTTCGCCAGATAGCATTTTGTAGCTTTTAGTCTGATATCCATTCCGTTCCAACTGAACAGTTGTCATCGTCTGACAACACCCGGTTCGCCCGATTAGTCTCACACAGAGAACACCGCAAACAAACAAAAAAAGAGTGGCAAACAAACTCGTTTTTAATTGGTCGTGATCACATCAATCACATCCCAATATACACAGTACTAAGTAGAAAGGAAATTGTATTGGAAAAATTCAAATAACAGATTAATAGGATTAATTTTATCATGAGCAAATACATATTTGCGCTTAGACAACGACCAAAAGGGTAATTTTCTCAAGGAGAGCAGTACGTGAAATTAGGGCAGAGGGGGACATTCAACGGTGTCGCTCTGTCAATTAAGTGCACTAGGTGTCACTAGCCACCTCCTAAGCATCCATGTGCTTTTACGCATTCACTTGCTCCTGTGGCGCGAGATACATTGGCCAAATTACGAGGTAACTATCATAGAGGATACGCGAACACCACCCCTTCTGGTTTAGACACGGTGAAACTCGTACGGCGAAAAGCGTTATCTGTCAATGTATACTGGAAACACGGCACAATATAAATGTTGATCAGGCTTTTCGCATCATTTACCACACGCCATCATCATCATCTCTGCCAAGACGACTTCGGTTTAGCATTCTATGCACAGCCGATGCGTTAGCTATCCGAACACTGCATACCCTCATCCACCCACCCNGATCGCATCAAACCAAGTACAGAACGTAGCTGAGATTGTTTAGCTGATGCTCATCTCGATTAGTTCATTGGTGCATTCCCCCGGGGGAATGCACCAATGAACTAATCGAGATGAGCATCAGCTAAACAATCTCAGCTACGTTCTGTACTTGGTTTGATGCGATCAAAACCAGATCGACGAACCGAAATAACTCTACTATGTAATTGCATTGAGCAGCTGATGAACTTATTGAAGAAAAAAGAACAGTTTGTTTTGCCTACCAGACTTTGTTTGCAACGTGATAACAGGTATCTTTTAGTTACTGTCATTTTACACATTTTTACAACTAACATTAGGAAACTACCTGTGACTCCCCTGTGTTCGTCATTTTGGATATGATATCCTTATTTATAATCACTCTGAATGGGAAACTTAAAATTTCAACATCGATCATCTTGTAACCTGATTCACTTCATTCAGGCTTAATTTTCGTGAACCGATTCCCGCCTCCGTCAAGGAATTTGAAGTTATGAGGAAGCCAATGCTGAGAGTTATTCATACAAAGCAATTGGGTGTTATTTTGGAAAATGAATTTAATTGAGCACCATCTACCAAGATTGGTGCTCGCAAATTGAAAGTACTCTCTTTCCACCTAGGATGACTGGGTCAGTTTTGCGCTGATCATCACAGTGATGCGGAATTTTATTCAATAATTCTATGTGATCCCCGCATACTCATTTAGTGCTCTGTGTTGTGATATACCTGATCTATTGAACGCTGATTTCAAGTGGCTGACATCTGATAGCATCGAAATGATCAGACTTGTTTCCCCTGCTCGTTCTGATACACGACAGTTGTTCTGACGGACATTCTGATACCCTGCCTGAAGTTGACAAACCAAATTTTGTTTCATAGCACATTCCACGTCAACCGATCCGTGTGCAAATCATTTTACCTCACCTGCCGCAACCAATGACTTATTCCACTTTGTATGTCCATGTACAAAAGTTATCATTCCTAGGGATTCTCCCCGATAAAGTGAAAATTCCTTCCGAGCTTAACAATTCACCCACTATTTAATTGGCACTCCTTATTGTTTGAAATTATGTGGAATGATTGTAGCTCGGGGTGTGGATATTGGTGTTGGTGAGTTCTCCGAGCTGGCAGTGTTGTTCGCAGATGTTTCGCAAACGTGGAAACATCATCAGTGCGACGTCGGAGAGGTGCCCATCCTCAGTGGGATCTGAGACTGGTTTCTAGTGGCTGCATCCTTTTAGGAAAGCCTGTGGACCAATGAAAAACGGATGGTCACCAAGACAACGAAACGGCCAATCAAACTACAATAAACGGCTGCTATTGACCAATAGGATTAAAGGGACACAAGCAGCCAATAGAAACCCTTAAACAGAACTATATAAGCCTGATCCCACTGAGGGCTGGTGATTCCCAGAGGTCACACTGATGGTGTTTCCTAGTTTGGCTGCGAAACGACTGCGAACAACACTTCCAGCTGGGAGAACTCACCAACAACACTCTGCGGTCACCTTTTCGCCTTCATCTTTTGTATGAGTGTTGTAACGGTGGTTTTCGTTTTGATGGAAAGCCTGTGTAAAACTTGCTAAACCTCAAATCTAATGCACCACAATATAAGACAATCTGGAGTGTTTTCCTTCAGACCTGGTCGCGGTAGGTTTCTACAGTAGATAATCTAATCCCTTCTTTCAACTAGTTTAAGCGATCTTTACATCCGTTCTTCTCTCGTCTGCTCACCAAGTTCTCACCTCTCAGAAGCACGATCAGCGGGATGATACCTACACGACGGCACTATCAAACGGAACTCCTATCATACGCTTTATTATGTGGTTTATTCATTTACTAGAAATCACCTGATCAGCAAAAAATCGGGATTGAGCTAGCTGAGGGAATTTCAAAACCAGATGATCCTAAGTGATCAATACAGTAGTATTGCGCAAACAGGGTATACAACTAAATTACGTTTAGCACTACTGGTATCGGTTCATTTTTAAACCATTCAACGTGGTTAAGTCACAGGATATTTAGGATCGCGTTCTGATAGACATCTGCTCCGCCCCGAACGCATTTTCACCCTTTTTCATACTATAGTTTCATGTCAGTTGTTGATAAAGATGTAGGTTTGTTCACCCCTTGCAGAACGAAATGGAAACCGAACAGTTTGTTCAAGGTCTCCGGAGGCCACAGTATGGTTGGAGGTGGGTTTCTCGGGTTGGGGCCGATCATTCTTCCACTGCAACTCGCGAAATGCTCAAGTACGAACAGGCTTCTCGAACAGTCTGTGCAGAGGAGGCTTTGCTCACTACCTCGTCGTGGCGGAGGTCTTTTCTCGCCAAAGTGCGAGAACGAAAAGCCAAAATTGGGGACTAAAAGCGCGCCAGTGAACCACTGGTGGTTCCCCGAGGGGAGCTGGTTAAAAACCCTAATTCCAAATCAATGAAGAAAGAGGCACCAAAAACAACCACATTTTGCTGCTTTTAAGTGGTCACCGGCTCTACTGAGCATCGGGATGTATTGGGCACCTCGGACGTTCGACTCCATCCAAAGGGCGTATGATCCGATGAACTGGACACCGGCCCCAATGGACTGCGG